TCATACATACTCACAAGTTGAAAATTAATCGAAATTTTATTAATTAGTTGATAATTATTAATAACTAGTAAATAATTAATTAATATTCCAATAGAAGAATAAATGCTTTTTATTAACATATAGTCCGTTAAATTCTGCACTGAATACTAAGAAGGATGCTAAACTTTTTTCATTACTTTATATGAATTATAGAAATAGAATTTAATATTATCTTTTTCATTTCGAATTTTTTTTTTCTAGCTCATTATCGACGTAAATTACGTTCAAAATTTAATACAGTTAAAAAACAATTTAGTGATCCAAATCCATCCTCATCAGCACATCCATTAACTCGTTTACATGGATCTACATTTGATGATATTGGTATGTTCATTTGTTTTTTTAGTAGCATACAAAAAAAAAAACCAAAAACCAAATCTAAAATCTAATTAATATAATTAGGATATGGATTGAATCATGCTTTACTTACAGCTAAATTAGCTCCAGCAATGACAAAATCTTATCAACAAAAAATGCGTGAATGGCAAACAATGCAAAAAAGTAATTTTTTAGTAAATTATCGTCGACAATCAATTACAAATAAACTTGAATTAAATAATGATTCTCGAAAAAAATCCATAATATCAACAATAAATGAATCATCTATTGAACCAAAATCATTATTAATAGATAAAACAAATATATTATCATTAAGTCCTATTTTATCATCAAATCAACGATCATTTCTTGTTAATCAATGGCGTGAAATAATGTCAGAAGAAATATTACTTCGTCATTATAATGAATATTTACAAAATAAAATACAACAATTAAAACAATTTGAAAAAGATTTAAAATCTTTAAAAACAAGTATTTTTTGTACAAATAATAATCAAGATTATTTATTAAAACATCGTTCATTAACAAATATTGAACAATATAATAATAATAATAATTCATTAAAACAAAATAAACAAACAAATTTATCTCGACGTTGTCATTCATTTCAATCATTAATAACAATGCCTAATTCATGGATATTAGCTGTACAAAGTGCAGCTTATTCAGATATATTAGATGGTACATCAACAAAAATAACTGAACCAATGACAATATTTAATAAAAATTTTTTTAATCAATTAAATCATTTTAAAGAAGATCGACAACATTTTGAACAAGATACAATTAAAGATTTACAAGCAATGAGAAATTTAACGTGAGTTATTATACATATATTAATCCTTTTATTCACATGTTGGATTATCGTTGATTTTTTTTCATAGAAACTATCTATTTGAAATAATAAAAAGCATCGAATCGAGATGATTTCTAAACATTGTATAGAATCTTCAATAAGCTACCAAATATAAAAAATAATTTGACTAATGAAGAAACATTCCCATTGTGATTTTGCAAAAGAAACATTTTTTAAATAAACATTCTTCTATTTCAATAAATCTTTACTCTTGTGAATGTACTGAGTTTAGGATACCCTATTACCAGTATATCACAGAAACCTTTGAATATTTTATGGTTCTTTTTTGGTACTTAACTATAAAATACTTCCAAATGTTCAATCTACTAATTTGTTGAAAAACTTTTCGTAGAATACTATATATTGTTAACACGATACCCAAAAAAACACTTTCCTACTGACAACTGATACAGTACACGAGTAACTTGAATTCAGTACATTCACTAGAGTAACTAATTCCCTTTGTAACAACATTTGATGTATTAATCTTCATCATGTTATGAGCTATTCAAACTTAGTATTATTAAAAAAATGATGATAACTATTTAGAAGATTTATTAACTAGTCAAGAAAAAAATGTACAAATTTTAAATTGTCAGATAAATGAAAATACGAATCAGCTATTTAAGAGTATCCTCTTCTCTTTTTTGATCATTTCTGATTCTCGAAGAGGATACAACTGATCAAATTGTAGACGAATATCTATATCCATCGCTTGAAGATTATCCTGTTATAGTAATCTTGTACATATGGGCAAAATATGAGAGCAAACGAAACGAATCGTCTGAGAGAATGTTCCGCTATAAGTTTTTATGCGTTAGAAAACGACGTTTATTTTTGAAAAAAAAAGTGATAGAATCTGTTTTATTTAGTTAAATCTATTTACAGACTAGGTTTTTAAAAAATTCTTGATTAAAGATATGAAAGTATCATTTTCTCGTGACAATTTGTATCGTGTTTGATTCATTCGTAGTGAGTAACATGGAAAATAGTTCCTCTAGCATTATTTTATTTTCGATATAAACTCATAAAATAACACAATCTGTATTCTAAAAATTTAATTAAAACTAATAGTCAATCATAAAGTATTTTACGGTCATTGTTGAATAACTTCTTATCGATAAAAGATAAAAATTTGCAATTTCCGTTATGATTTTTCTTTTGGATGAAACTTTAACAATAATTGAAGGATTTCGAATCGAAATCAAGACTAATGATAATTCCGTATAATAAGTAGAAAATAAAGACTAACAATTCTCGAAATGAAAGATCTGATTTCATCCTGAAAATAGCCGCCTTCGCAAATGTCAAACCATATATCATACTCCCTGAAATGATTCATTTTTTAATAAACAGTTGATGGGTAAGTAAATTTTCAGCTTTACATAGATCAAATAACCATATAAACGTGAAAAGCCATAAAAAAATTTAATTAACAATAAATGATTCATTTGATATGAAAGTTGTCGTAGAGATACATTGAATAGATCATCACCGTGAGACTTGTATAAAAACATGAAATCGTTCAAATAAATATTGAAAATACAAGAAAACTATAAAGATTTGTCATTAGAAGAAGATCAATGGAGAGATTTAATAGGCAGTTTATGCAAATAATAATATTCTGACAAAAGGATTCGAAGTTTTAATCTTCCAATATTGAAAAAATTATAATTTTTCTTCGATGAAAGTCATGATAACCTTTGACCTCTATCTAAAACTATTCCGTCTATTTGTGTTAAAAGAAATAATATTCTTTCAAATCAGATTTATTCTTTTAATACATACAAAAAAAAGCATTCACTTTCATTTTAATATATTATATCAACATACCATTTGAAATTTATACTTTCAAATCTTTCTATTTATAAATTAAGGAAGAATACCTCTACTTTGTGGTATGGAGTACTGTCTAAGAGCAGATTCAATAGCTCGATATCTTTCCTACGACACTAATATTATCTATCGCTCTGAACAGAAGACCAATCTGACGCTGAGTTCTTGTGCTCAATTGCTTAAGTTCCTTGTACATACTGACTAACAACAAGGGCAGATGTGTATATCATAATTTAGTCAGTATCTATTGAAGGTTTTTACTAGAACACTATTTAGTCTCTATAGGCAAAAATCATTAAAACTGGAAAGAAGAGGCCTGAAAAGATTTTCTCATCAGCCATTAAGAGAATTATTGAGTTAAAACTACCTAATAAAAAGTACGTCTTAAGCATTTTACTTTGCATGGATAATATTCTAACAACTAAAAATCCGTACGCCTTTTTTTTTTATCATTATCGATCTTACGACTTTTATATATTTGAAAACATTTATGTTACTATCAATATTCAAGAGTCCAAACGAGTACATTGTCATTTAACACATATAACAAAAAGTATAACTTGTCATATAGATAATAAGGATTATCTGTTGACATATTTGATAATAAAAACAAAAAAAACAATTTCAACAATTATTGATATTATTATTATCAAGTCGATATCCTCCTAATCTGAAAAATAAAAATATTACTATATAAATAAATTTGAAAGTAATTTTTTTTTCATTTATAGAACAAATATTTCACATGAAGAAAATTTTAATAATAAACAATCAAATCAACAACAAACAAGAATTTCTTTAAATCGTATATGTCTACGTAAATTATCACTTATTTCACCAAATGAAATACCTCAAACAATTATATCAAATTCTATGATACCATTACAAACAACAATAAATAAATTAGATTCATCATCACATATTGATCATTTATCAACACCAACAAATAGTGAACCAGAACAATCAAGTCTTCTTGCATCATCAATAGGACTTAATAAACGTTCAAAACGTTCACGTTTTGATTTTAAAAAAACTTTACAACGTAGTAAAAGTATATGTATGACACAATTTAATTCTTGGCTTCAACGTCATCGACAACAACGACATTCATCTTTACCTAGACGAAAATCAGCTACAGATTCAAAAACAACAAAAGAAATAATATCATCAGCATGTTCAACACCAAAATTACTTGGTTCACCTCGTTTAGCTCGTATTCATCAAAGAATATTTAAACAAAATCTATCTTCTTCTTCACCATTATCACCATCACTTTTAGAAACACCACAATTAATAGAACTTCCTTCACTATTATTATCATCATCATCATCATCACCACCACCATCATCACAAGTTTTCGATGATTCCGATGAACGATTTCAAAAACAAGAACCTCAAGTTCGTATTTATTTACCAGCTCGAACATCTTCAATGATTCGTCATGTACGAATTACTGAAAAAAATATTATGAAAGATAATAATGGTAAATCTTCACCAATATTAAATCGACGAAATTTATCATCAGCAATGAAAAATAATAATAATAATAATTAAAGAATGAAAAGAAGAAAATTACTTAATTATATATAGACAAATTTTTGTTCTCCTTTTCTTTTTTTTTGATTTATAACAAACTAATATTCTTAATATATAATTTGTGTGTTTTTTCACATTATTTTTTTTTTGTCTTTTTGACAATTAATTTCACTGAAAATATCCTAAAAAATTAATATGTTACTTAGTATAACATGTTTAAAACTTGACAAATATAGAAATCACTAATATATTTGCGTGTACTTATATTCTTGTTTATCTCTATTATCATATTAATCGGATATCCTTTTTTTTTTCTGAAAATAGTCTTATAAAGATGCAAAAAAAAGAAATAATTTCAGTTACATTGACGTAAATGTCAGTATGTTTAGAAATTGATGTTAGATTATAGAATCATCATACGAGAAAAGCATCTATTCTAATTATACTATCTGGTTTTTTTTTTTTGGTATTATCTATATAATTTTTTACATTTGAATATATATAATCTAGTATTTTAAGAGCAATTATGTTTTTTTCAAGACTTTCTAAATAGATATAGTTTGAAATAACATTACATGTCTTTCACGATTCTACACAATGTTTTTAGAATTCAAAACAAGATTTCATCGTCCATAGTTGCAAAATTCTATCATAGTTTGTTATTGGATAAAGTTATGTCATATTTCTTTTGTTTGTAGAGAATAGAATGTAGAATAATAGTGTTCTATAGGGAATAATATTCTAATTTCTAATACTATAAAGAATAAATTTTATACGAAATAAAAATCTGTTGAAATTGTAACTGATAATTAATTGGATGACTATGACTTTTTAAATAATGAAAATTTTATTTGTCGATTAATTTAAAAAATTTGTTTTTTTTTTTGTCAAAAAATCATCGACCAAGAAAGTCTGATAGGTGAAAGTTTTTTTTTATAATTAACTGATCCTGAAAGATCATTGGTGGTACAAGTTAAATCTTGAAAAAACTTTGACATTCTAAAATAAATTCGATGAATTATCAGTTAGATTCAAAAATTTCAATATCAACAAGTTCTGATTTTGATATAAAATTTATTGTTTATACTATTTGAAATCATTATGAGCAGTATTGTTATTTTTTGACATTCAAAAACCAGAAAATACATTTCTGATATCAAACAATCTTTTAAGTTTTAACTTAATAAAAAAAATGAGAAAATTTCATCACAATCTCTAATCTTTATTTTAAAAAATCAGAGTTAAATACAAAAAATAGAATTATTAGATATATTTTCTTATGAGCATGTATTTTTTCATCTAATTTAATAGTTTTCAATAAATCTTAGGTGTATAGGTGAAATTAATATCTATCAGAGATGAAATCAGTTCAATTCCAAAAAACACGAACCAATACCAACATCTCCTTCCCTTCCCCCGTCCTAACATAGATAAAAAAAACAGAATAATATAGATAGCCAGTGAAAAACAAAAATTAAGCTTATCTTAGAATAAGGATAAGACAAAAATGCCATCAGATATTAATAAGAATTTTCCTTCATATTTTTTTGAAAAAATGATATAGTATAATATAGCTAAATGTTGATTAAAAATGTAATAGATACAATATCAGAAAAACATTCGAAAAATAGAATAGATATCAATTCTGACCATAATGGTATTCTAATGGAAACATATTATTGTACATTCTTTACATAGTATGCCTGGTTTTTTTCTTTTTGTCACATATTCGAGTGACATAAAAAATTGTTTTTTTGTCGATGAATCCTCGAATAGAATATCAACATAGTAAAGAAAGTGATGAAAAGAAATTTATATATTCAATAGAAAATTTTTTTTTTTTTAATTATGTTTTATTTAATATGTGAAGTAAGAATCTTAGTGGTGTGAAATTAATTTAAACGATCTTAAAAATGTCATATTTAGTTCTGTGATATTTGAGAATGAAGTTTTTGTATTTAAACTCGATAGTTTTGTTTGTTTGTTTGTGCACTTGAACTTTTCAAATAAAAAACAAAAATACTAAAATTACGATTCTATTTTAATAAATATGAAAATAAAATGAAAGAAAATTTTATTTGATAGTATAATAAATGAAAGTAGATAATATTTGTTGAGGTGAAGAGAAAATTTCGCAGTTCAATGAACGTAATATAATATGATTGGTCATGAAATGACATTCTATCTATTTTAGTTCTTAGTCATATAAATAAAAAAATATCATGAATATAATTATATAACATCAAATAACCATATTTAATCAGATATGAATGCACATTGGCAAGAAAGATTTTGACAGAATTATATTTCATTTATCACGTTTTCCTTTTTTTTTTATTTTAAACAAACTAATCATGATACATATTATATATATATGAATTGTATTGATGATTGGTTTATACATTCTTATGAATGTTACTCAAATGCTTCTAATCAAATTAAACAATACAATGAATCTAACGTTTGTGTCATTCTATATACACACTCAAATTTTTCTAGAGATTCATTATTGTTCTCTTTATTTCATTGTCAAGAATATCAAGTAATCCGAGAGGTTACATAGGGTCTTTTTTTTTTTCGGAAGTTGATCATCTATATACAAAAGATGAATAGTCTATTCGATCTGAAGTTATACAAAGAGCTTAAACGGAAGTCTAACGACTTTCTCATTGATATTTGCAATAGGAAAAAAAATATTCCAAAAATAATATTAAACATCTTAGGAAAGATACCTTATAATTTTTTTTTTTTTGTTTCTTTGGTGTTGACATCAAATGTCCTGGAACGAGACTCACATATATATTATTCTATATAACAAAGATCAATATAATAAATTACTTCTTTCTATATTTTATTATTCTTTTGTTGTACATGTATTAGAAATTTTTCTTTATAGACTCATTTGTGAATAATGAATAGAGTTAATGGCAAATACAAAATTATTGATCGACAGAGTAAATACGTAAAAGAAAAAAAAATGACCTTTTTATGACATTATCTAAGTGATAAAAAATTATGAAGTATTTGCTATTGTTTTTTTGTCACAGGAAAACATAGACAAAAACAACAGATTATTAAGAATATCTAATAGTTTAAGGGATAAACCATTACAGAATTGTTTAGAAGTCTCATTATAACTATCTATTTTAGTAACTTAACGTATACTTCATAGTGTTGACAAAATTCTACAAAAAAATACATGTTCAGATTGTTGTTTCATCTAATGTATCCGGATATATGAATGTTCAATAACTATACTTCTCTTCTATTTCGATTGCATGATACCGAACTATTTTCAATATCTATTATCAATTAGAAATAATTTTATCGTTATTAGATTAGGAAACAGATTTTTCCGGTAATATGATAATTATATTTTCTTATTTTCCGAATCTAGAAAAAAATAGAAATATACAATGTAGAACAAAACAAAAATGTACTAAATACAAGTAGACATCTGTTTGACAATAGTCTGTTCTTTTCTATGTATATAATCAGACGTCCTAATGCTAATTACATAATCAATTTGAAAAATATAATTTATTCATTAATTGAGCTATAGAAAATAAAGTTTTTTTTTTTTTGTTTTTTTGGAAAATTTCCGAAAGCTTTTCTACACGCTCTAGATAACATGTTTTTGAATGACTTCTAATGATGAATGGAGTTTTCTTTTTCTATAGAGTAGAAACATTCGAAAAGAAAAGAAGCAACGGAAGAAGAAAAATACTTTTCTAACAATGAACCAATTATTAAAAATGTATTACATTTTTATCTCTAAACCTATTTAGATACGCATTGTGATTTTCTTTTAACAAAAAAACATATATATGTTACATATATATTTGAGTTTTATTGATACGAGTAAATATTTTTTAGGTTATACATGTAATAAATTCATTTGTTTCCAGTATCTATCATGAGAATTCAGAATATACCCATGATAATTTTCTATGAGACCTATAGTCAACATTCTTTACAACAACAAAAATAATGAATTTTACCATTTACTTTCTCTAGAAGTCATATGATGCATCTTTATTTAATCAGAATAGTACTAGTGGGTTTTTTCTCGTCTCTTTTTCTCTCATATATGTATTCGAAGAATAAAGCACATCTGTCATTTGTATATTTATCTTTTTCATGAAGTATATTCCTAGTTGACATATGAAATTCAATTAATTACAGATTTTTTTTTGTTTTTATTGGAATCTAATTCATTTTGACTATTTTAGATTTAATAATTATAATATAATTTCAATGAATTGCAGTGAAGGTAAAAGAATTTATATATAAAATTGAAATAGATTTAAATTAAATTCTTTTTTTTTTTATTTATATAAATAAAAGATCCAAGTCGATTTGGTGAAAATGATTTTCGTTCATCATTTGCATTTTGGACATTAGGTGTTATAAGTGTTATATTATCATTTCTTGCAAATGCTGGTAATTTAATTAATTTATTTGTTCTTACACGACGTCATATGCGTTCAACAATGACAACACTTTTAGTAACACTTGCATGGGCTGATCTTGTACCTCCAACAGTTGTTTCATTAAATAATATATTATTTTATTATTTTTTACCACATATGAATAATTCATCAACATTTTTAACAATACATATTATTACTCGTTCTCTTTTTAATGTTTTAGCAAATATATTTACAACATTTAGTAATTGGCTTATTGTTTTAATTACAACATTTCGATTAATTGTTGTCAAGGTAAGAAAAGAAGAATTAAAAGATATTCATTCTGAAGTTCTTAAGAAAAAAAAAACCTAAGAATAAATAATACTGAAAAATAAATATTTTATCAAAAGAAATTCATTGGATTATTTTAAAAAGAATATAAAGCTTCTTTCATTTACCTCGAAGCATGAAAGTAACATGGGAAATTCTCACTTGTCTATTGATTACAAAGACAATCTTATTTAATCTATTTTTATTTTTCAATATATACCTTGGTGAGATTCAAATCTCTATCGTGACAAAAGAAATTAATTTACTAAAGAATTA